TATCGTGCAACAAGAAAATGGTACGGAGACTGACGAGTCGAAACAAGACGGCGACAATCCGAGCGAAACGAGTCGAGACGAGGCATGACGAGGCGAAGCGAGGCGAGACGAGGCGAAGAGCTGCTGCTGAGTCACGAAGACTGGAGGAGGAAACGGTCGGCAAAGGAAAGCAATAGCCTGCGGCACAAATCGACGAAATGACCCATCGCCACCGCTCTGCTATTTCTGCCCCCCCCCCTTTCCACCTCCAACATCACTCGCTTGTCGTTGGACAAATCGGGCAGCGCGATAGTCGCACACAAATTTTCTTTTTCTTCCCGCCCCGGTCATCTAAACAAGTGCACTTTACTATGATTGCGTTTCAATGTCATTACCATACGCACTACTGTACCCGATGTACTACCTCTGCTGCACTGCCTGAAGCTCGCAGACTTAAATTTGCCACCGATTGCTTTCCATGTTACTTTGACACAAGCCAAATCGTTTTACCGTCTGTAGTCCGAACACCCGTACCCTTAATAGTCGCTGACTTGCGTGTCTCCTCTACTCCACTGTCGTTGTTGCTTCCAAGAATCGGTGACTTGAATTCATCGAAACTTCATGCTTGTAGAACGAAAGTAGAGATTTGATTCATGGCTTTACTTCACCAACCCTCTTTAAGGAATAATCTGAGCGCTACCAGCTTGGTTTTCTAAGCTTGTTAGCCCCCGCCCCATCGACTTCTACCCCATAGTGACATATTTGGGTTGCGTTTCTTTAGAGTGTTGACTCTGCATACGAGGAACTGAATTCAGATCCAATGCAACGTATAACACTGCACGTGTTTCATTGTTGTATGTTCAACGCTAAGTTTGAATCCAACAGATTTTTCGTAGGGAATCTTGAGTTCAAGAATTGCAACGATCAGCTTAATCATGAAACTGACGGGTTAAATCACGTGATCAAAACTGACCTATAGAAAAGATGGCACTTACAGACTACCTTACTGTTCACCTGTTATGAAGATAACTAATAGAGGTACATTTTACCCCCCTCCTTTGTGTCCGGAAAGTCAAGAAGCATCAAGAAAGAATGAAAACGAACGTTCTAAAGTGCAGGCCCGTGGTATTCAAGCAAATTCGCAACAGAGAAACAGAAAATTGATCAGCGTGCGTTCAGTGTACCGTCATGACTCCCTTCTAGGTAGTCGGGAATTTGTCAGGGAACTTCGGTTCCACGTATGCTTTTACAGTCGTGCTGGTGTTGCGATCTGCTTGACTGGCGGTAGAACTTTTATTCTCCTTCAAGATGAGATCCTTCAGGCAGATATTGTTTATATGTTCAAGGACGAAAACTTGCAATTAAGCATTCACACAAAAATAATGTGATTTAGAAACGTCTCAAACAAAGACAGTGACACCTTTACTACAAACGTTGCGATGCACCTCGATGATTTCAGGTGCCAAATCAATAATGCACAACACAGCTTGTCTACAACCTTATAGGAAACAGAGTATGCTCCAGAGGTATGAGTCTAAATAATTTCTACCCCGCTTCTACCATCCACCAACGAGAATTTCAGTAAATTCAGTAATGATGTTAGGATGCAGTTATGAAGCTATGCTGTTACGAAATTCCGGGAATTCCAACAACGTCACCGCTGATTACATGTCATAAGTGCGCTAGAGCTCTTAGCTCATCACTGAAAGATCGTAGGTTCAAATACTCGTAGAGACACACGCTGTTCCTCCAATTATGGTTGACAAACGCGTACCGCCTTGTCCAAAAGGCAACATTAGGCTATACACTATAATTGACCTGTAGCTAAAGACATTGCATGTAAAATAAAGCGCTCTTCACTGATGGTAGGCAATGAAACTCCACCCAGCACGGCAAATTCCACGAAAATATGGGTCATATAAATACTATCCATCACTGAAGTGTAAGGGAGACCAGAATCCCAACGGTTATAATATTTTCCTTTTGATAGAGGGTAGTCAACGGTGTTTCACGCATGTCTAAGAGCGTTTCTCGCTTCCTTGATGCTGTTACTTTCTAGATGCTTTTCTACTAGATGCAAGTTCCATATAAATGAATAACACATTGTGGGTCCTTGAACATACAACTGATTTTCGTACCTCACACAGGTACAAGGCCAACTTTAATTCATAATTCATAATTCATTCCTTTGGCCAATGTTATCATGTGGCAGATCGCTTATCAAAGAAATTATGTACACATCGCTCGGAAAAATGTTAAGTCTAACTTTTCGTTATCGCTGCTGAAGACCAATAGCGAAAAAATATGGAAGAGAAAATTAAATCGAGGTGCTAGTCTCTCACTCAATGCTTAGGTCTGCCAACGTCTCAAAAGCAGAAATGTTGGTATAGCCAGAAGTGTTGACCGGAAACGCTAGGCAGCTTCTGTGGTACAGTCCTTTGTACTGGCCATGTGGTAGTGTCTATGCATGATCGTCCTGAGCCCAGTCCAAGTTTTGCGTCTGACAAAGTCAGGCGTTGTGAGCGCTGGTGCATCTTTCAGTGATGGTTCATCAATTGGACAAGGGTTTCATTTTGTCGTGGTACTACTGCCGCTATTATTATATGCAATAGTCCTGCAACCCTTCTATCCTTTTATCAAGAGGTCTAAAATTCAGGCCAGTAAAGCAAATAGTTTAAGATTGGTTTTTAAGCATAGCTGCAGTAAAAACGATTAAATCACAAAAGCAATAAGAATCCAACAGAGAACTACGGCAGGTTGCACCTTCCTGAAGACCGTTCGCCTTCCCTTTCTGAGGTCAGTGTGTTCTCTGATTTGTTGACCTAACTACATACTATCTTAAGCAATGAATTTCCGCATGTTGCTTGAGATCAGGGTTGTTCAGACAGTAGAGCGTCATACTCAGAACCAAGAAATCCAGGAATCAAATCGTCATCGGATCACTGACATTTTAAGCTAGCAGGAAGCTGCAGGCCACTTGCTGCAGATCTGATTATATGATAAGAATATGGAAATGAGGGATCAGCCCACCAACCAAAAATTACATAAAAGGAAGGCATCAGAATTGCCGATTATGAAATTGCAATTAAATTCGAGATTCCACGGATTACAAACGTTCCTTCCTTTTCTTTCCGCAGCTATTTTGTAGTTAACAGTATAATGCCAACCCGCTTTAGCGGCGCAATTGGAAAAGCTAAGGCTGTAGCATGGGGTGCAAAGAAGTTTATTTTCATTTTCAATATGCTGAAGCGGCAATGAGAGCAAGGGGACATGATCCTCTTGCCTTGTAATGTTTAAATTAAATACATTCATTAATGATTTTCAAAGAAATCATAACGAATGCGTCATTTTGTCTATGTTCAGATAAAAAAGACACTGACCAAAGATATAGCCTATTTTGGACCGGATTTATTTAATCTCGGAAGCAATATCGTTTCAAAGTAACGTGCCATTGTGAGAAATAAGCTACGAGTTGCACATGGCGATAAAGAGTTTAACTGATAAAACCAAACGTCGAAGCAGACAAAATACAAATGTAAATGCAACAACTCCAATCTTACGTCGTCTCATCCTAAGTGAAGTTTCAGTGCTATTAATCCTTGAAAATGATGCATAAATTTCGTTTCCACCATCTCGTGAAACAAAATTGGCAATAACGTATTTCATCGTTTCATCTTCTCTGCCCGTCGAGGAAATAATTTAGTGATAATTTATAGCTACCGCTTTCAGGCCGCTTATGACAAACCTCAACTTTTCAAATATCCCCAATGCGTCATCTGTGCTTTTCTTAGGACAAGGATATATAAATGCATAACAAACGAACAGATCAAGTGTGCAATCAATTCATTTTCTTTCTCAACGCCCTCAAATAGTCTATCAGCGCCCCGCCATCGAAATCTTTCAGTTTCCCATCTAGCATCAAATTATTGAAATATGGGAGAAAACCTAAGCCGCCCCAAAAGTTAAACCCAAATGAAGTGACCTGTGCCAGTCTTCAGTTTCGCTTAAGGAGATCTGCAGACTTTACATGTGGGAACTACCATTCGCCGTAGACAGCCTGGTTTGCTCCCTGGTCAGGCAGGCATCAGACAACCCGGTTCAGCTCTCGGATCCTAAGAGAAGGCAGAAAAATTTAGTATAAAGCAATGATATGGAGGCGGTACGGTAATGATCGTTTCGCATTATCCAAGTGTGGCATTAATCGGCATAAGTCTCTAACGATTCGCTTTCGAATCTATGTTCAGGCAATTAATCAATTAAATAGGAGCAGGATTATCCGTCAGGGTGAAGCGCACAGGCTTGTAAGGGAGTAGTTCAAAATTTCCTTCAGATGGATTGCTGCAACCAGGTGATCTCCGATTACTTCAGGCCTGTGAGACAAATTCGTCTGTGTAAGGCAAGTTACTACGTACAGCCAAACGAAACCGGGTGCAACCGCCGTACTTCTCCCCAACAGAGTACGACGAGGTAACATTCTTGTGTCTTGGAGCATTGGATGATACGACTGGTGCATGCAACACTTTTAGCTATTAATGTCATCCCTTGTTTCAAGGACAAATGGTTCTGGGCATCAGTAACATGGCGCCATGTTTTAAAACATGAATTTGTTCGGCTCTTCACTGTGACACGGTTTCGCACTCATTCAATACAGGCATTAAAAGACCATTCGGCCTCGAACTGCTTGAACGGTTCCGTCAGGCCACGAAGAGCAAAGATACGGTAGAATCGGGGAAGTGACAGGAGATTGTTCGCAGGTAATCAATCTGTAATGCCAGGGTAGTGCTTATGGTATCTGAATGATTATCACGATCTTCCATCGCGAAAAGTCGAATTCTGAAATATTCAGATTCCTTGCTACAT